GCCCAGGTCAAACCTCCCCCCATCCATGGAGCCCTCTCTGATCTCTTGACTCCATAAAGATGTTTCCATTCTTTGACTTTTGAGAAAAAGGATGCAGGGCTGGGGATAACATTTCTGAGCTTCTTCCAGGGGTCAAGTGCTTTTCTCACACATATCACCTCTGATTCCCAAGGTTAGGTGCTATCCTTTCCCAGATGAAACAGACTCAGAGGGGCTCACCTGGCAGGAGGAGGTGGAGCTCAGAGTCCTCACCATCCACTCCTCTTATTCGACACTGAGAGTGTGCCGGGACAGGTGAGCTACCTGCCAGTTTACATCTTATTTTCTCACCCACCGTAGGGACAGGGTCCAGGCCTTACTCATCTTTAGCTCCAATAGTACCTCACACAGTAGGGGACACAGCATGTGAAAAAGTCACCTCGGCTTTTTAAAAATTAATAAACTATGTTTTAGAGCAGTTTAGGCTCACAGCAAAACTGAGCTGGAAGTACAGAGTTCCCTTAGAGTCCCTGTTCCCACACACATACAACCTCGTCACTGTCAACAGCCCACAACCATGGGGTACAGTTTATAATCAGTGACCCTAAATTGATTGATCATTATCCCTCAAAGTGCATAGATTACATGAAGGTTCACTCCCGGTGTTTTACATTCTGTGGTTTTGACAGGTGTCTAAGGACGGGTATAACCTTCAATGAGATCACACAGAGGAGTTTCACTGCCCTGAAAGTCCTCTGTGCTCTGCCCATCACCTCTCCCTCCCTCCATGTCTTTTCATGTCTGGATAGCCCATTTTTAAAAAAATTTTAAGGTTTCTACATTATTCTTTTTTTTTAATGGAGATACTGGGATTGAACCCAGGACATTGTGCATGTTAAGCATGTGCTCTACCACTGAGCTGTACCTCCACCCCAATAGTTCCTTATTTTTTAGTGCTGGATAATATTCCATTATCTGGATATACCACAGTTTATTTATCCATTCACCTTCTGAAGGTCATCTTGGTTACTTCTAAGTTTTGCAACTATAAATAAAGCTTCTATAAACATCTCTGTGTGGGCTTTTGTGGTGATGTAAATTTTCAGCTCCTCTGGATAAATACCAAGGAGCACAATTGCTGGCTCGTACGGTAGGAGTACGTTTAGTTTTGTAAGAAACCACCAAAACGTCTCCCAAAGTGGCTGTAACAGTCTGTATTTCCCACCAGCAGTGGATGAGAGTTCCTGTTGCTCCACATCCTTGTTGGCATTTGGTGTTGTCAGTGTCCCCCATTTCAGCTATTCTAATAGGTGACTGATGGTAGCTCTTGGTTCTTTTAATTTGCATTTCTCTGATGACACATGATGTGGAGTGTCTTTTAATATGCTTACTTGCCATCTGTATATCTTCTTTGGTGAGGTGTCTGTTCAGGTCTCTGGCGCATTTTTAAATCAAGTCAGTTTTCTTATTGTTGAGCATTTAGAGTTCTGTATAGATTTAAATAACAGCCCTTTTTCATGCACATATGCTAGGTCCATTAAGGTTGTAGCAGAAAACAGATGGGATATTCGAGCTGGGTCCTTGATGATAATAAGGGAGCTGTTTGGAAGGATATGGGGAGGGGTGAAGGAGACCAGCAGAGGGTGGTGGTGAGACCTGAGCAAGCAAGGGGGTGCGAAGGCCACCCTTGGGTTGTGGGGGAAGGAGAGAAAGCAGCGACCTGAGGTGTTGGCAGGCAGGATATTGGCCCCCAAAATTGTCCACATCCAAATCCCCAGAACCTTTGACTATGTTATGTTACACAGGTTGTGGTGCATCTTCTGCCCCCCTCTCTCTCTCTCTCAAAACACACAGACACACACACACACATAAACACACACACAGAGACTCTGTTGTTCCCATGAAGGCAAACTCCATTCTTCTGAGTTGGAAACCCTCACCATGACTCAATCCTGGAGTGAGGGAAACAGGGAATTAACTGTCTTTTTTCCCCAAGGTTTAAGTAGCAAGTAATCTTTTCAGGTCATTCATTGGCATCAGGACCAAAAGCTGATCGGGGTTGGAAGCTGTCGTAGTCTGCTCAGGCTGCCATAACAGAACACCATAGATGGGGACTCAAACAACAGAAATGTATTTTCTCACAGTTCTGGAGGCTGGAAGTCCCAGATTAAGGTGCCGATAGCTTTGGCTGCTGGTGTGAGCTCTCTTCCTGGCTTGTAGACATTGTCCTTCTCACTGTGTCCTCATGTGGCAGAGAGAGAGAGAGTGGCGGGCAGAGGGTGGGGGAGGGGAGCTCTCTGCTGTCTCCTCTTATACGGATACTAATCACCCTCATGACCTCATTTAACCCTAATTACTTCCTTACTCCAAATACAGTCACACTAGGGCTTAGTAGGGCTTCCACATGTGAACTGGGGAGGGGGAACACAATTCAATCCACAGCAGAAGCCCTTTTATGGGATCCTACAGGCAACAGGCAAGAAAGTCAAGAACCCAAGCACACAAAGCAAGCAGAAAACCCAGATTCCTGGCCACAGAGGCCCCTCCTGCCTGGCCAGGAAGCCTTGTCAGTGCTTTACACTACTGCCCGGACAGCCCGAGGCAGAGCACCCCCCACTTCTGGCATCCCTGGACTCCGAACTGCTGCCCTTCTGTAACTGCCCACACCCGGCAGCGCCCTCCAGCACCGCACAATCAGAGATCAAGGAACTTGGCCTGGTCTGTGGCTAAACAGGAAAGCCAAGATTTTGATCCTAATGTAGACAGTGGAGGATATCAAGGATCAGAGTCTTCCAGTACAGGCAGAAACCAATCTTAACACAGTGATGGTTTTATTCAGAAGCAAAATTACATTCTCGTGGGCACTGAAGAAGCAAGCTCTAGGCTCAGAGCATCCGTACATGGATATGCTCTCTAGAAGAGTCTCAGGTTGGGGGACCATGTATGAGATTTATAATCAGAGGCATGTCCATCCTTCTCCTCTGGTCCCCTGGGTGAAGATAGAATTTCCAAGCCCCCTGCTACCCACTGGGTGTGTCACTGGCATTGAATCTTGCTCACTCCCTCATTAGCTGTACTCTACCCTCCTCCTCTGACTTGGCTGGAGAGGCCCATCCACAGAAGACAGAAAGGAAACTTTCCTCTTTCTGCATGACAGAGGATGCTTGCTTGGAGCTGTCCTTCAGGGGCAACAACAATGCCTCTTCACAGCTCTGACACTCCATCCTGGAAAAACAGACTCAACCCCCAAAAGTATCACAAATGAAGAACCAGAGACTGTCCCCTTTTCCTTGGAGCATCCTTACCTTGTGGGAATTAAGGATTTCACTCCCTAAAGTGACAGCCTGAAAATGTCAGCCCCGATGATTCCTATCTGCTCAGTGCTCTAACCCAAAGAGGTAAGAAAAACAGATCATAGTATTTTCAGGTGAGCAAACTAGGCTAAGAGAGACTGGTGGCTTGTCCAAAACACACAACCAGTGATCAGCAGAGCTCAGACTTGTACTCACCTCTTCTGACTTCACCCCGGGTTCTCTCCACGCTTCCAGCCTAGACCTGGGGAGCCTAAGTACTTGGGGAATTCTTCCAAGGGGAGGGAAGCAGGGACTCGCCTCTTCCCAGCCTTACTGAGCTCCATGAAATCTAGTAAAAAGTTTAAAATGTATTAATACTGCTTATTTTCTTTAAAGAACATTTGTCTAAAACTCATATGTATGGAATCCTTGTTATGGACTGAACTGTGTCCCCTCAAAACTTCCATGTTGAAGCCCTAGTCCCCAAAGCCACTGTGTGGTTGTATATTCAGATGGAAGATGAAGCATCACTGGGCCATAACAACGTTGCTGAACACAGAAAGTCAGGAGACCTGGTTCTGCCCCTAAATGCCCCAAGATCTAAGGGTGAGATAAGAAGGCCTCTGCAAGGGCCTTTCAGCTCTAAAGCTGTGGTGCTAGGAAAGAGACCAATGGAAGGTTTTTAAAACATGCTAAACCCACTTCTTGTCACTTCCTCCCACTGCTCCATGAGAATGACATTCTCAAGGGACTGGGGAAGCATGATACCAGGATGAGGCATCTGATGGTGACAAAGGAGCTCCTGGGGGATATTAGTGCAGCACCGAACCAGCCTTCAGCAAGAAGATGAAAGAGCCCTTTAGCAAGAAGAGTAACAGCTGCAAAATGTTGATGTGCTCGTAAATTCTTGACCAGTTGTCCCTGGGGCTGTACACACAGAGAGCAGCACAGCATAGGGGCACATGGTACATGTGGGATGCCTATTTATGCTGCAGGTAATAAGTTTCACACAGATTCACTCAATCTTCACAAGGATGCTGCAAAGTAGATAATATTTTTTAAATGCAGAAACAGATTGAGTGAGGATAAAAATAACTTGCCCAAGGTCACACAGCTAGGAAGTGGAGGCGTCTGTCTGGCTCAACTCATGTCTGCAGGTTCCCCCCCAAAGAGTCCACCATCCACCCAGCACGTGTTTCCCTGCTTGGAACTGAACTGAGAAATGTGAGCTTGGCTAACCGGCTTACACTTGTGATCCTGCGCTGGCTCCGGGGCACCCTTCGAGGGGCGTGTCCTCCCATTCTGGAGGTTCCCAGAGAGGAGGCGGCGCTCGTTAACAGGGCAGTTTGCCCAGTCTCCGGGCAGTGAGAAGGAGGGAGCGGCGCCGCGGGAGCCGGATGGAGACCAGCAGCCCGCGGCCCCCGGGCCCCAGCCCGGGCCCCCCCCGTCCGGACGGCCGCGGACGTCGGCCCCGGCCCGGTCCGGGGACG